AAATATTCCAAAATCCAAAAAACTGAAATATGAAAACACCTCTGCTCCCAAGTACTTCAAATAAAGGATTTCCAACCTGTACTAGATTATGAAAAGTGAGTGGAATTATCCATTTCTTCATGGTTAAATTAGCACAGGTCTTCCCGGTGTGTGAGGGTTTTTTTTTGATACCAGGAATCAAACTCAGGACCCTGCGCTTGCCAGGCAGGCGCGTGTGCTGCTAAGCAGTATCTCTGGCTGGAATTCTTAAAATACTGCAAATGTCCCAAGCCCACCAGCATCATCCTCAGATGCCCGCGAGTCATCCCTGATTCTGCACAGTTTTAGGGTGCAACACACTTGCTCCCCGGGAGTCTGAGGATGGTGTCAGGCGTGCTGCGCAGCTGCTGAAGAATATCTGCTAATGCAACTGGGTTCAGGGCGTTCTTAGATCTTCTGACAGCTCGGACCAAGGTAAATACAGTATTGTGTGTTCGCGTAGTTTTTAACTATTCTACACTTTCAACTTCTAGTATCTAAACTCTAACAATTTCTGCAGAGGGGAAAAAAAACATCATCAAAAACAATCAAGCTAAGCAGATGCCCCCTCTTTGGTGTACAGGATGAGTCAAAGACACCTACCCGAAGCAAACAGGCTGTCACATCTCTAAGGCCAGAAAGGAGGCCCTGTAGGCTGGGGAGCGAGCCACTGTGAAGGTGACTTCACCCCGCTACTGGCTCACCAACAGATGCACAGGGCCGTAAGAGGGGAGAGCAAGTGGAGACATTCAGATCGAAGTCGCCAGGAACGCAGAAATTATCTGAGGGAGAAAACCACTGGGGGCCACTTCTTAGCTCCCCCCAAGGACATTGTTGGGCTCTGAAGAATTTCATAAATTGCAGTAAAAATGAACTCTCTTCCTGTGCACCGGGACATCCTCTCCACCTGTCCCCTCCTAAATTAAAACTAAAAAGTGGGCTCCTTTAGGGCATGTAGAGATGGAAATGCAAAAGGGAACCATTACAAAAAATGTTAAAATCTGTATCTAAAAAACTATCATCACTGACAGCAGTGCAACATAATACTGCTGAGGAAATTGGTTCATTAATAATTAGCTCAAGAAAGAAAACTATTTGCTACTAAAACACTGCCAGTCACAGACACCATAAAATACAGTATAATGGAATTCAACAAGTGACCTACTTTACAAAGCTCAGAGAAACCTCTTATATAAGAGGTCCTATTCCAGCTTTGAAGATTTCTCCTGGGTTAAATGACAACAAAAAGAATGACACGATAGTGGGATTGCTACAATTATGCTGTAAGATTGCTTGGTACATAAAATTCTCATTAAAGGCAATACAATTAAAAATATTTTTCTAATACTATAAACAATACATTTTCCTAGTACAAAGGGATATATGCAATAGGTGATTTTCCTGAAAGAGGATGAAAGTCCACATAACCCACAACGTGGTTGAAACTTTGGTGCTTGGTTTGTCTCATTCACGAAAGCAGAACTGGCCTAGATCTGTAAGCTATGGCCCAGCTCAAGTGTTTTTTTAAAGGAGGCCAAATAACTTTTTTTATTGGTACAGGTTTATAATACATACATAATGATTACATTCATGGGGGCCAGAACATGTACGTAACTTAAATTATTTTTATTTCTCCTGTCACTCCCTTTTCTCCTCCTCCTCCTCCTCTCCTTGGGACCCCTTCCCATTTGCAAAAGATTTCTCTCTCTGTGGCCTGTTGTCCATTTTTCATATTGCTTTTCAAATTACTTATACTTTGGGTTGCTCACGTACGAGAAGCTGTTGTTTTTTTTTTTTTTCTGTACTGGGAATTGAACTCAGGACCTTGCACTTGCCAGGCAGGCGCTGTATCACTGAGCTACATCCCCGGCCTGAGAAGCTGTTATTCAAGCTTGCACATCTGATTATTTCACTTCACATAGTGGTCTGAAGGTACATTTTCTATAAATGACTCAAATGTGTCCTTCTTTATGGCACAGTACTACTCCACTGTATGGAAATACCACATTTTCTTTGTCCAATCATCTACTGCTGTTTATCTATAGCTATCTATCTATCCTGTATATATCTTTTCCAGGATTTTGTTATTAGGAGTTTTGCTGCTATAAACATAGCACTTTTAATCATAGGACTCCAATTTCAACAGGCATTCAGAAATTTACATGGCTTCTGTTCAAACATTTAAAAATAATAACTGAAGACATACATCTTTTTCCTGCAGTATGCCTACTTGAAAGTCTCACTGAGCTCCTGTGGGGGTTGCGGGCACAGGTAAGGGAGGACGTTACACAAGCGCAAAACTAATAATGAGAAATGTCCATGTTAATGTGGGTTTATGTCTAAGAGAGAGAAGAATTGTTAACAAATCCAATAGTAAAAATCCTATTACTTTCACATTAAAATGTAATTTATTAAAAGTGAGACAACTCTCCTGAGGGGAACACCATTCGGGGGTATAATGACCCAGGAGGTACTCTCGCTTGGAATCCAACTTTGCTGTAGGAGAGTTCATGCTAAGAGAGCTCGCTGTGATCGGAGCTCCGCCCAGATGACAGTGTTCTATGAACAGTCAGGAGAGGAGAGCTGTGCGGCTTTCACGGTCACAGTGAACTGCAAGGCTGCGATGGCTTGCGTCCAGATGCCCTCCCGAAGCCACAAGCACTCACAGACGGGGCTTTTCTGGGCTGCCTGGACCTCAGGTGTGATACTGGAATTCAGCGTGCGATGCTGGGAGTAAGAGTGCCTCACCTGGGTGTGGGTGGCACGGCCCAAAGGGCTGGCAGCCCGGCTGGAGTGCACGTAATAGGAAGGAGGCTGCTGCTTCGCTGCTTCGCTGCTTGCTGCCTTCTGCCTGCCGTGCGCTGTTGCTCCTCTGCCCTGTGTCTGCCCTGAAGCCAGCTGACTGGGAACCGAAACCTCTACAAACTGTGAACTAAGTAATCCTTTCCTCCTTTAAATTTGGCGCTGGATACTTTTTTCTCAGGAAGGAGAAAAGTAACCAAGGCACCCGTCTTTCCTAAAGGCATTTTCTATTCTACATATACAAAAGGAAAATAATTTTCTTTTTTCTAAAAGAGTATTTCCTACTCTTTTATTTTTTGAGACAGGATCTCAGTATGTGAACCAAGCTGGCCTTGAATTCCTTCCTACTGCTTTTCTAAAGGGAACTATTTAATTATTTTTCTTATAAAGACATCTTCAGTGACGTGCTGCTAACAAATTTCTGTGACACTATCTCTGCCCACTAGATTTTTCAAAGAAGCAGTAAAATCTCTTCTTTGCAGAGATTTAAAAGCACCGCTCGCTCTGTCCGCATGCCTATGTTCACTGCAGCACTTTCCCAACAGCCAGGGTGTGTACACTGCTAAGTGCCCAGCGACGGGCGGACACAGCAAGGAAACGGGGTGTGCAGTGAAATCTTGTCACTCATAGCAACGCGAGCAAGCCCGGAGGCATTACGTTACCTGAAATAAGTCGGATACAGAAAGAGAAATATGAAATGTTCTTACTTACATGCAGAAACTAAAGTGGTTGATCTCGTAGAAGTAAAGAGTAGAACTGTGGTTACCAGGACGGGGTGGTGTTTGGTACAGGTAGAGAGGGGCTGGTTAAGGGACAAAATTACGAGGAACAGGAGGAATAGGTTCTAGTATTCTACAGCATGTAGGGTGGCTGCAGTTAGCAACAATTTACCACGTTTCAAGCAGCTGCAAGAGAGGATGTTTGAAGCTCCCCAAATAGAGATGATAAATGTTTGTATGATAAATATGCTAATTTTTTGTGGGATCATCACATAGCATTTACATATATGGAAATATCACAGTGTACCTTATATAAAGGTGTATAATTATTATCATGTATCGATTAAAAAGTAAAAATTAATAAAGACACTGATCTCTCTAAATGTATACAGCCCCTCAGCTCACTGAGTAAGAAGCTCCTTCCACAAGGCAAAGCATCTGCAGTTTCCTGGTGCTCTAAGCACTTTAAAAATTGTGTATGCCACCGAGGTCTGGATAAGAAAATTGTGGTACTTTTATGTAATGGAATATTACTCAGCTATAAAGAAAGATAAACTCGAGGCCTTTATAGGTAAATGGTCACAACTAGAGACCATACTCACAAATGAAATAAATCAAACCTGCATGTGCAAGCATTGCAATGTTTCACTAGTGTAAAAGCTGAAAGAGTTAATTTAAGCTAGGAGGTATGATAGACATTGTGAAATGATAGGGAAACAAGGGTAAAGGGCAACTGGGATGTGGGAAAAGAGAAGGGAAAGAAGGAGAAATTTTGTATGTATGTATATACAGGATAGTTACCATAGTTGTTCTACCGTCTTCTATTTCTTTGCTGAAAGAAACTGTCAACGAGTCCTTGATTGATCAATATTGCATGTCTCTGTTTTCATGAGAAAGCACTTTGAAGATATCAATATGTAATACAACAAGCATTGTTCATTTCCTACCACTTTGTTTGTAACTCTGTATTGTCTGTACTGTTCTTTTGCTATTTTGTAAAAGGTTGTCTGTTAATGTTTTATTTTTAAAATAAAAAAAATAGAAAATAAAAATAAAAATTGCGTACGCCCCATCATGCTTCTCTAATGCACTCAGATGGGTTTCAATGCACTCCACGCGTTCCTTTATTCCTAAAGGAAGAGCGCTTCCAATGACTGGCCCTGAGAATATCTGCATCTCCTTCTTCCTAAAATGAGGGTGTAAGGAAAGTGGTCCAGCACTCAGTACCTGTGAGGACTTCAGACTCACTGTACTATCAGCTCCATTATCAGAAAGCCACTCAGTACCCTTCTAGAAACTCCACAGCCAGCCATTAGGAGAATGCTCTCATCCTGAAGAAAACCCACTGTCTGAAGATCAAGGACACCGTGCAATGGGATGAATGGGCTGCAGGTTCTCTGCAGCCAAATGCTCTGTGCCCCTCTCCCCTGCCCACAGGCTCTCTGCATAGCATGCACTCACCTCTCCCGAGGCACCGCAAACCAGTACTCAGGCTGCTTCCTGCGTCGGCCGTACTGCTGGACGATGGCGGCGGTGTGAGTGGCAAAGGATTTCCTCATTGGCTTGCCCACTTTGATGCACAGAAACATGGGTGGGGTCTTGCTCTTTTCTTCTTTTGAAGGAAGGATATCTGTATCGCATATGAAAAAGCTGTCCTCAGTATGGACAACATTGGAAATGTAAAACTTTTCTATGAAAAAGCTGTCCTCAGTATGGACAATATTGGAAATGTAAAAGTTTTTAATTTACAAAGAAGAGAGTTGCTGGGTGTGGTGGCACAAGCTTGTAATCCCAGCACTTGGGAGGCTGAGGCAGGAGGATCATTGCAAGTTCGAGATGATCCTGGATTACAAAGTGAGCTCCAGGCCAGCCTGAACTGCACAGTGAGACTCTGTCTTAAAAAGACCAAAAACAAAAGAAGAGTCTGGTCCTCTCTGAACAGCGGAAAATGAAAGCATGTGGCAGGAACACTGTGCAGCAAGGTCAGACAGGACGAATAAATTCTGCATCAAAGGAAAAAGCTCTGCAGTTTCAGATGGGGGTGCATCAGACGAGGTGCTGGATGCTGGAGATAAGCATGAAGACTAATACAGCGCAAAACTGCAGGATCCTGACAGCCCACAAGTACACATACCAATGCAGGACTCCCGGGTCCGATCGTGCCACGCTGCAATTCCATTTAGAATTGAAATTTCTTAAAAATCATTTCAGCTGGGTGTGGACATCTGTAATCCCAGTACCTGGGGGGCTGAGGCAGGAGGACCTGGAGGCCAGCCTGGGCTACACAGTGAGTTAGTTCAAGGCCAGCTTGAACTATATTGTGAGACCCTGTCTCAAATAACTGAAGAAAAAATTTTAAAACTCTTTTAGATTTAGAAATTCAGGCTAAAAATGGAAAAGTACTTGAAAGATTTTTTTTTTAACAAAATAAAGAACTTTTGTAATAGAAATCAACGTTATAGTTTGAGTTCCTAAACAGATACCATACTTTATGAATTTGCCTTCACGATTACTGCTACCAGTGAGGACTCATTCTATGGAGAAAACATTTTTCTCAAGTAATTGTACCACCCTGGCTGTTACAGACGCAGGTTTTAGAAAGCCAATTACGCAACAGAAATATGGCATTGAAGAAAAACGGATTACCTTCGATGGGCACCTGAATCCTCTTTAACAGCCATAACTGAATTTCAGATTTACTGTCCATTTGGGCGCCAGGGCAGCTGTTGTCCGGGGTTGGTTCCAAAGCGGAGTCTAGAGACTCTTTAATCCTGTTTTCTCCCGCACCAGTGTCCACTTTCAGAGCAAGAGGCGCTCTCTCTTCTTTCCGGGTCTTATCCGGTTGCTGAGTGCTCTCAGCTGGCAGATCGCCTGCCCGGAGAAGGGAGCTGCTAAGGGTGATGTCTATCCCCACCGGTTCAACACTTTTGCCATCACTCAATTCTGCCATCTGCGAATTTTCAGACAGCGGTGGCCCTTCTTTATTCTTATTTAGGTAATACTCAATGAGTTTAACTTTATCTAGATCTTCATGTATGTTCAGTGAGTTTTCCACTTGGCTTTCTGGGAAGCCAGATTGCTTGTCCACTTCCGGCACTGTATCTTGCTTCTCGCAGGTTTCTGAATCCAGGGTCCCTTTCAGTTCAGCATCGCTCTCTGCGGCCAGGACACTGAGAGCCGACTGCACCTGCATTTCCACAGCGCAAGTGTCTGTTTTCGACTCCGTCTTCTTCCGTGCCTCTGGGTCAGCTGAAAGGCACTCCTTCAAGGTGTCCCTTTTCTCCTTTCTACTCTCCGTCTGAGAAGAAAGCTCTTCCAAGTCCACAAAGTCCTCATCTTCCCCTACGAGGCAGTTTTCTTTGGCTGTAGATTCAAACTTAGGGTGTATCTCTGAAGGTTCCCTGCCCAGTTTAGTCACTGTGGGAAATCCACCAGAGGTCTCCCTGGTGGGTTCCAGTTTCTTGAATTTCCCTGATATGGAGCTGCCCGTGGGCTCTGTCTGTGCGTACTCTGTGGATTTCTCCGGGGAGCCTGCTGACATGGAATCTGAAGTCCCGGTCCTCTCTCCGTCCTGCTGCCGTTTTTCCTTATTGATGGACTTGAACTTACTGAATGGGTTGATGTCCCTTTCTGAAGCCAGATCTTCCCACTCTCCAGGCCTGTACAGAGGACAAAGATCCTGAGGTCGGTCACTGTGGGGGGGAAAAATGGCGGTGCATATGGAATGTTAAAAATAAAACCAAAGATGAGATGAAGGAAAAGCAAAACATAACACAAAACCTCAACCAAAAATCAAAGTGTGAATATACCACAACTCAAATTTAAGTTAAAATGATGTTGGGACAAGAAAATGAGATTGAGATCGATTTCAAAACAAAACATAAGTCAACTGAGAGAAATGGCAACAAAATGAACCATGAATTGCGTATCTTAGTAGAAGCACACGGATGTTTTGGAAGTTACATATGATTGTGGAGGTGGTGCCCACAGGATTTTAAATGCAGAGTAACAACGCTTCCAATTTTCATGACGAAAAGGACAAAGAGGAAATACTTCAGTACCATTGATTGAAATTCCTTAAACGTTCAAAGCCTTTGCTTTTTACACAACAGTGCAGAAAACAACTGCGTTAATTCTGAAAGGCTCACTGACTTTGCAGCAATTTATTTAATTACTCTCTATAAAATTACTGACCTTGAACCATGACTTCGGGTTTCGGGGCTTAGACTTGGACGCTTCCAACTAAAAACTCCTTGCTTCTCCCAAAGACGACGCAAGCAGAAGCGTCCGTTAGTGTGGTGGGTAGACGTCAGTAGTTCCACGTTACAGTTCATTTACAGGTAAGTAAATCTTATCAAAAAGCTCTTATAATGCCTAGCTGATTTCTTAGCTATATGTTTATTTTGTAACAATATAACTTCACTTTATAGCAATGGACCACCTAGTTTACCAATGTCCTGGGTGCAGTTGGTTATTTTTCCTTAATACCACATGCCTTTTTACATAGATTTGAATTATGCAAAATCTTTACTATGACACATATTCTCAATTCATATTAAATGGTCAAGAAAAATATGTATATTTTGAACTATGATTAGAAATGTCATAAGTGACCCCACATTTCCACTTACCACTGCTAGTTAGTAGCGCCACTGCTGGGTTCAAACACAGAAATATAAAACCCCTTTAAAAATAACATTTTCAGGGCTGGGGATACAGCTCAGAGGCACAGTGCCTGCCTGGCATGCACAAGGTCGTGAGTTCGATTCCCGGTAAAAAAAACTAATTTTTTCAAGTTCAGAAACAACACTGTATTCTAAAGAAGACCAGATCATTTTACAAGTAACATTTTATTACTTTGACTTTAAAATAAATGATCACAGCAATGAAGCAGCCAAGTATAGGATGTTTTTCAGGTTACATGAAAATTGTCTCCCTAAGATTATTTTATAAATCACTTACATGAAATAGCTAGGTTTTTTCCAATAGACAACAAAAGCCTACATAAAACTGTTAGGCTCTGATAAACACCTTAAACAGCTTTTAAAATTCATCACTCAATTTCTTAAGTACCTACTGAGCCACTAGGTGCCATACCCTAAATGCAACCGTGACAGGGTTTGCTCTGCAGGAACTCAAACATACAAAACATTGTGTCCAACGCTCACAGCCCAGGAGATACTAAACATGCTTCTGTTCTAGTCAGGATGGTGCAGTGCAGTGTAATCTCCATGTTGGAACTGGACACTTAATTAGGCGTATTAAAGGGTGAAAGCAATCCTCCAACAACAGCAAAAAACCAACAAGCTCTTCACGTATTTGATAAATAAGCAAAGTTTTCTTCTATAAACATGAAAGAGCCAAGCCGCTCTTCTCATCTCTTTCTTCTCTACTGAACATGACCCCCACTAAGAATATATACGGCTTCCCTGAAATCACGATGCCTCTTCGATGACCTCGCACTCTCCTCTCTTCTTCTACCTGACCCAAGCTGCCAACTTCCTACTTGGAACTATTTAGCCATCTGCCCTCTCCATACTGCGGCTGCCGGGCTCCGCCACGCCAAGAACGTAATGGCGTCAGCTGGCTCAGTTGTTAATGAGTGTTTCCCCAGACTTAGCCCGACCACACCTCATGACGATCAGTAATCCCTTCAGTTGTTCCTTCCTACTCTGTGGCAGCTGGAGTAACAAAATCATAAAAATACAAAATGTAGAAGTGAGGATGGAGAGACTTTACACACATCTCTCTTAAAAACTTTTTACACAATGTAGCTAGAAATGTATACTTGTCATTAAAAACTTTCAGTAATAGTAATACTAAGCAATTTTAATTTTCTGTTTTGGAGCTTTTGGGACAATCTCACCATGCAGTTCAGACTGGTCTCAAAATCACTAAATGGTCTGACTGGTCTCAAATTTACAGCAATCATCTTGCCTTAGCCTTTCAAGTGCTGGGAGTACAGGTGTGTGCTACCACACCTAGAAAATTCAACCTTTTAAGCAACTGATGAGCTGGGTGTGGTGGTACACACCTGTAATCCCAGCACTCACGAGGCTCAGGCAGGACTATTGTTCTAAGTTCAAGACCAGCCTGGGCTACAAAGTGAGCTCAAGACCAGTTTGAACTGCATAGTGAGACCCTGTCTCAAAGAAAACAAAAAAAAACCCCAAACAAAAAACAACTGACGAAATTCTGAAGATAATATAAAGTTCATTTCATATTGACTTCCCTCATCGGTCCATATTGCTTATTGGTGCAGTATGATTCATAAGACCAAAAGCCTTTTATATACCGGCACTGACGGCAGGAACAGCATGAAAATAACATCAACAAATTAGGAACCAATTATAAGTTTTTTCTTTTTTTTTTTTTTTTTTTTCTCCAGTACCAGGAACCGAACTCACGACCTTGCGCTTGCCAGGCAGGCGCTTTGCCGCTGAGCTAAATCCCCAGCCCCTAGTTTTTTCTTTTTGAGACAAGGCCTCACTACGTACTCCAGGCTGGCCTTAACCGCCCTGTGATCCTCCCGCTTCAGTCTGAGTGCTGGGATTGCAGGCGTGCGCCAGCACAGGTAGGAGCCAATGCTAACATTCTCCCATCTCTCACAGCATCACCCCTGCACCCCGGGTCATTAAACACAGTCTGTGTGAGACTACACATTGAGAGACTTTCTGTAAAAACAACTTCTGCTGTATGGCTCAGCAGGATCTGCAATACGGTAGGCTGAAGATGTCCAATAGTTCTCTACGTTAGAAGACATCAGCAGGTATGAAATGCCTGCACTTGTTTGGCCATCCTCCAAACTAAACTCTTCTTTACTACTCTTACTTTCTTGGCTCTTAGTGCACCGGCCAATGTTTAGTGCATCGTTCCCTTTACGTCCTCTCCTGTCCTCATCTAGACCCCAAGGGAGGTAGGTGGTCCAGCCCTCCCAGGGCTCTCACGGAGCGTGGCGTGCACTGCTGTCCACAACGCCACTGGATTATGACTCCTGCGCAGGCGTTCGCGGTACCCAGTGCAGTGCGGGTTCCTCAGGGCAGAACCCAGCTCACTCCTCTCCAGCCCTTGTATAAAATGCACATGCAGCACAAAACCTTAATCCAAAACTGCACTCTTCTGCTATGACACACCTTCGACCACTCAGGTAACAGGATTCCCACGGATGCCCAGAGAACTTCAGATAGGAACCACCAGGGCAAAAACAGCAGCCTACACGCAGCAAGCACTCTACTATCTCCTAAGGGTTAGGGTCGATGGACGCGTGTAGCTCTATAAGCCAAGGAATACCATCTACTTCCGTTTACCACAAGGAAACCGAGGCACTAGCGTGAGGGTCGAATCTGGCCACTGCGTGGTGCTGGGCTCCGTCATCACACAGCACTGCCTGGCCGGCTGAACCCCTCAGTGAACACCAGGCAGCGGAGTTCAAAAAACTCAGCACCCCACTCCTGGCAGAAAAGCAGTGGTGTGGGCTCAGGACAGGGCTGAGGAGACGCAGGGCAAGGCTCACTGGAGTCCACCGGAAGCGGAAACAGGAGTAGGAACCCCAGGGACTGCTGGGATCCTCCCCTCGCTCCGCCTTCATTTCCCAGTATCCTGAGGGCCAGGTTCTGGCTTGCTGTGAGGACTCCACTGCCGTGCAGTCACCGAGGTCACTAGAGGTGTCTGCTGCGGACATTTACGGAGAAACTGACAGCTGGAGACAGGACGGCCAACTCCACATCAGTGCCCCCAGCTCCATGACTTTTTTACAGGGAGCTTTTACTTAAAAATTATTTTATAATAAATCCAGCCTCGTAAGACCAAAGTAATCAGCTCTAAAGTAGTCTTCCTCCACATTTCACAGAGGAAAACAAGGAGCGTGAAGACTCTTCACACCATGCAAGGCATCTGGCTGCAGCAGAGGGGGTCGCGCTACCCACTCAAATCTCTCCTGATGCGGTTTAAGGCAGACACTGGTGAGGAAGACTGCCTGATGGGTAATTTAACTGAAGGCAAACACAACGCTTCCTAATAATTCAACCCAAATGGGCTGGGCGTGGTGGCATACACCTGTAATCACAGCACTCAGGAGGCTGAGGTGGGAGGATCACCTTGAGTTAGAGGTCAGCCTGGGCTACACAGTGAAATAAAAGGACAATCTGGACTACACAGCAAAATTCTGTCTCACAATAATCAGAAAAGAAAAATCCAACCTATAAGGAAATATTCTTTTTTAGATAATCAGGGTAAGTTTCCTTCAGTGAAACTGTATATCTTCCTTCATGAATTTTATTAAGAACATGCATTACTTCAGAAAAATAAGCCCAACAAATATCATTTTTACTAGTGGTAGCTGATGGCTTTTTTTTATTTTTTGCTTTCATCTTCTTATGTTCATCAATGACTTTTATTGCTTCCACTTCTATTTATTTATTGGGTTTTCTTGAGACAGGGTCTCGCTACACAGTTCAGGCTGGCCTTTGAACTCACTATGCAGCCCAGGTTGGGCTCAAACTCACAGCGATCCTCCTTCCTCAGCCTCCTGAGTGCTGGGATTACCAGTGGGCACCAACACGCCTGGCTCATTCTTCTGTATTTTAAATTTACCACTTCTGTTTTCTGTCTCCCAGTTCAGCTCTACGCAATCCCTGCTTCCACAAACACCCTGCTTTTACACTCCATTGTGTTCTCCTGACACCTCCCCTTCCTGGGAAAAGAAAGAAACGTTTCTTACGATGGCAGGGCATCTTTGATCTTCATGTGGGAGATGTCATTGTACAGAGCGATGGACACGACCTCCTCCATGGGGCAGATGAGGCCATACTCCTCACACCCGTTCTCGATCACCAGGGGGTCAGACTTGTGAGGGTCGAACATGATGTTGTTGGGGGTGACAATCATGACGCCTCCGACCACACCCTGCAGGACAGAGGACAGGACACAGCTGCTCTGGCAGAGAGGCTTCCGGGAGCCAGTAAGGAGCTTCAATCCACCCACGCGGCCCCTCCCCCGACTCTGTGAGCCCTGTGCCCTCTGTACCCATCACGCCCTGTGAGCACAGAGGCAGAGTCGGACCTGTGTCTGACTGTGCCGTGGCAGTGTCACTGCAGTGGGTCTGAGGCTCACACATGTCCCTCTGGGTCCCCCGAGTTCTCTCTGAAGAAGAGAGGGGCCGTCACTCTCTTGAGGATGAACATATGAAGATGAAAGCAAAAAATAAAAAAAAAAAAAAGCTATCACTGTTGGACACAGTGCTGAGCGGGAATCAGGATAATGGAGCCAAGGGATCGCCTAGTCTGCGTTCTGCACAATGTCTGCAGATCCCACACCGAGCACAAGCGTGAACAGGAGCGCAACGCTTCGCAGCCACAGGGAATGCAGCTGCACTGTGGAAATCAAAAACGATAAACAGAAGCCCGGTGGCTCTTCAGAGTCTGACGCTTGAAGCTTGGGCAGGTGACATCTGGCCTTCACTGGACAGTGGTATATTATTTACCAGGGACAGAAGGCTTCACATGACTCCCTGTAACAAATGACTTATTTTGATAGTGAATCTAATAATCATCTTTGTGAACATTTCTGCATTTCAGGCATTATGTATTTTTGTTTGTGAAGTTATATATGCACATCAGTAACATATTTTTCCCCTGTGTGGAACCTGAGACGAATGCTGTGATGAACACAGAATATCAGTATAGCAGCCTCTTCTTCAGAGGTTCACTACAAGTTTGACTTTTTCCTGTGTGAAGTATCAACTAAAAAGCTAGAAACAACCAACATTTTTAATATTAGCATGAGTGGTAGCAGGATGAGGAACTACCATGTTTCAGATTAGGTGATAATTTCTTTACATGAATTAGCTCTTTTAACCACTACACCTGTTAGTTGTATTTTATTATTGTTCTTGTTTTATAAATGAGGAAAATGACCTTGAGGGATTTAAATACCTCGCCTGTGGGCTCAGAGAGGAGGGCAGCAGACTTAGTGAGTCTGACTCTAGTGTTTTCTGGTAACCACTTCCTACACCTAAGAATTTAAGTGTAAGAAGTTCCTAAGAATTTCCAGGTCAAGAACTGGGCTAGTGGTAATTCCAAGGTCACAAGGACTCACTTCCTTTTCATAATAATCCCCTGGGGCAGTACAGTGCTAGTCATTGAATACTGGAGAACAAATAGAGGTTTGTCACATCTTGAGGGGAAGCCATAGGTAAACATTTTACCACAGCCTTCCTTCCAGTGACTTACAGCCTTTAGTTTCCATAAATGATAAGAAAAGCAAACACACAGCACCACCATATACCTTTCCATCGGTGAAGTAGCGACAATTCATTTTTAGAAATTTCACCACGCCTGGCTCATCTTCTTCTGAAGTAGATGATAAGACTCTTTCTATGGGTCTTAAGGCCTTTCTTGCTAAGTCAGCATCCTTAGGAAAGCAAAAATTTCCAAAATCAAATAAAAGCATTTTTTCAAAACCATTTATATGTATAAAACAAGCTATATAAATTCCCCTGGAAGTATACTGTTTCTATGTAACTTAAACATAGAAATTGGCAAACATGCTTTGTCCTTCAAAAAATTGTGAATGTAACAATAGCTACCCAAATCAAGCTAAAATTTTTTTTAAATGCCTATGTATGAACCCATAAAACTAGTTTATTAGCTCTGGTGCATGGGGAGCCATGGGCGGGGAGCCCTGGTCTTCTGACTGGCAGCTTCGCTCCCTGCCTCGTAGGCCCCTGGAGGGAGGGCCTTCAGCACACGGGGAGCCACGGGCGGGGAGCGCCTGTCTTCCAGCTGGCTCACTTCCTGCCTCATAGGCCCCCAGAGGGAGGGCCCCCTGGCACACAGGGAGCCATGCGGCAGAGAGCACTGTGGCGCGCCAGCCTTCAGGCAGGCCACCACTGCTCAAATGAGAACTATCATGACACAAAGAAACAATGACACAATTGGCCCACCATGCACCGGCTGCAGATGCCCACCTAAGGACGTGTGTGAATCATTCAGACATGGAAAAACCCCTGGAAATACATGCTATACAACGGGCCACTCTTGCTCCTGCCACTGAGAACCAGAAAGGTCCAGAGCCAGGGGAGGAGCAGCTGCTGAACAAGGACTCGGAGAACATGAGAATGCAGACTAAGCCCGAGGGGTCAGAGGTCCTGTGGACTGGGGTCATGAGAGCCGCTCAGAAGCTGAAAACCAGGAGGACCTTGCACAATACATGCAGAGACTCCCTGGAAGCCATTCTTCCCCTGACAGTACAGGCTGTGGTGGAGCTCCGGAGAAGTCTGCAGCAGGATTCCTGCTGACTGTGCTGACAGTTGGGGAGAGGACACTAACTGGTTGTGGGGTCCCAATGCGATGGGAGGCTGGAGAGAAAACGCTACAAAAAATGGCTTTGGCCCCAGACAGCTCACTTGATTTTTGACAACCCTTAGGCTGTAACTACTTGTTAGATCCTTCTTGCATATCTCTGTCTTCCTGAGAAACCACTTCTAAGATACCAACATGTATTACAGCAGTCACTGGTATTTTCCTACTAATCTATCCATAACTCTGTAATGTTTGTATTGTTCCTATCCTATTTCATAAATGGATGCATGTTTATTATTATGTGTTTCCTACAACAACCATTGAGAATAGTTAATGATTATTCAATAGGTCACTCATGTATAGTTCTATTTATTTTCTTTCAAAGATACCTAAATAGAGTAGAGCAACTATTGATAATCTCCTACCTCTTTTGTCTGTAACTCACTATTATTTGTCTATTTGTTTTCCTGAGAAACTACCTTGTAGATAACAATATGTAAAACAATAACCATTGATAATTTCCTACCACTTTGTCTGTAATTTGGTAAGCCCCCCCCCATATTGTTATCCTTCTCTTACTCTTTAAAATAAAAAAAAAACTAGTTTATTAAATGTGTTAGAGGATAACATAATAATTCATATTAGATTTCTGACACAAATTCTTTAGAAAAGGAAGGAGTTCAAATTATCTATCTTACTGGCAGTTCAACTTCACAGTTTGACCCAAGGCACAGATTTTTATCTTTGAGACACTTTTTCTTGGAGAGGATGCACTCTCTGGACTAATGAAACTCTCCTAACTCCAGCCCTCTGTGGGGAATTTCAGATGTAAGCTTGTAAAAGGTTGGATTCTACAACTCCTGCAAAGGCCTTGTGACAAGAACGGACCTGGGGCAGCAGAGTGCAGCACATACGTACAGGCAGCTTGTCGTACTCGGCATCCGATGACGAAGGAGAGACAGTGGCACCAGGGCTGGGGGATGAGAGCCTCAGGGTGCTGGCGGGAGAGCTGGCGTCCGGCACGAAGAGGACCTGAGAGTGGAGGAAGCGCTGAGTGGGTACAACAACCAGGCAGGCGGGTGCTGGCACCTAGAGAACCCTTCCTGCACAGTGTGACCCTTGGTGCAGAACTAAGATCTGGCTGCATGGAGTTCATAAGCAGCTAAGGTTTTGTTGATGAATCCGTAAATGACACCGAGCCCCACGCACCTGTGCAGTGCGGTAGAGGCCATGGGACATGCCTACCGACGCTGCAGGAGGCCAAAAAGGGGAGAGGCAAGTGCACGAGTGTGCTGGGCTGGACCTGCAAAGCAAGTGGGTCCAAGAGGTGTCGTGACCAAGTAGGGGCAGGAGGGGAGGAGGGAAGAGCCTTCCAGCGAAGGAACTCAGACAGGCGAACACCCCTTGCCTAAAGTGCTGCCTTACCTCGGAGACGGAAGTGTTTCAGATTCAGATTTTTGGGGGGAGAGTTTGAAATATTTGTATAGACTTTATCTGGTGAACATCCCTGGTTTTATTAAAAATCCCAGTTCCAAAATGCTTCCAATGCACCCAAACAGATTTCGGAGCATTCTGGATTTTGCATTAGGGCTGCTCATCCTGTGGTGTATGAGAACAGAGGAGAGAAAAGTCTGGCTTGCTTCTAAATATAATACTGCATCAGGCAGACAGGGAACAAATCCTGGCTTGGTAACTCCAAGCAGGCCCGAGTGCTGAAACAGTTTATACAATAAACACTACCAGGCAATGTCAATGTAATAATCTTAATACTTCTCCTCCATCAGTATCTGGATTATAAGATAAAAATACCCCAACAAGTTGAACAAAATGTCCTCCTTCTGCAAAATACAGTTTTAAAATGTTATTATGATCATGTCCTCCAACAACCTTTTAACGAGACATGCTATTTTGGCATACATCAAATATAATCTTAAAATGATAACTTTTAATGCTGTAAAAGAGAAGTCAGAGCCATCTCAGAATCAATACTGTTGTATCTCCTCTGTACAGAACATGTGTTTTAACTTTTGCTACTTAAACCTCACATCAATCCAGAAAAGACTTGAGGCAAATACAAAAAGCACATTCAGATCAAGGTGGGGAAATAAAAGGCGAGAGGATGTGAGATGAGGGTTACTACTAAAAATATGTGTTCTGCTAGCACCGAACACTCGCTGAGAAGTGGGGCATAAATAGCTCTCAGTTCCCATAGAGCCAATGCAGAGGCGGCACAAGCAGTCAGCAGAACTCATTTCCATCAGAGGAAAACAAGCGAGTTTCACAGGACAGAACTCTCACAGAGTCATACAAAAAGACGTTTCCTAGGCTGAACTTTCTTTATTCCCAGTGAAACATTAACAGTCATATGGTAACCAGATTTGGAGGGCTGTTCTTTCTCCTGGTACTGGGGATTAAACCCAGGGCTGTATGCATGCTAGGAGGTCTTTATAACATCTTCAATGAAACCAATAGCAGATGCAGATGTTTAGAGTTCTATGAAAGCCATTCACAAAGGAATGATTGTTGTCATTTCCCCCCAATAATTCTTATTGTTTGTTTGGTTTTGTTTGCACCTGAACTCTTTAAATCACCAAGTCACAGAGCCTGAGGTTCTATTACTGCACACGTTTGAGGTCTTGAATCAAGGGGACAAAGTCTTGCCTCAGCAGCTAACTGTAGTGCAGTCAGAGGTGACAGATGACAGGCGGAAGGTCACCGGAACACGTGCTGCCCCAGACGTGGGCCTGGGTCACAGCAGGGCTGAGCTTTTCCTGCTGCCTCTAGACAATAGTTCTGTGTGTGCTGCAACACGGGCTAACGGGACCCTGAGTTCCTGAAGTTCTTTACCATAAAGCAAAGCTGCTATTTATACACAGGAAATAATGTAAGTACGTGGGGCCAGGTACATCAGGAATATGAACACATCCTCAAGGACGTACCCACACGCTAACTTTTGAGGACACTGAAGATAACCTACTTGTCAGTGAACATTTTCTTGTACATGTCCTCAAATCTGAGATGTTCCAGAACAAACTCAGAACCTTCTGAAAAAGATTTTATGCTTAGTAATTTTTCAAAGTTTGTCTGAATTTTTTTAATTTTGACAAGATCAGGCACATTCTAGGTGGTATGGCCATAGATTTTTTTTTTAAATTTTGAAACAGCAAAATTCTAAGATTTCAGCTGAATCAGCGCCCACGTAACTGCCTCTGAAAATCACCCCCAGTGTGGTCATCAACCCTTCTCGGCCAGTTCTTCCTACTGCAAGGTGATCAGTCTCCAGGAGAGTAAGTGTAAAATTTTCTGGTCCAAAACAGATCAAACCAGTTTTGACTTCCCAGATCTACTGAGATAGGAGGTGTATCTACCTTCTCCAGGCACCAAGAGAGTATTTAAAAATCCTTGAAAGCAAAAGATGATCTCAGTTTTAAAGCTTCTCAATCTACTTCACTCTTCTTGATTTCTTATCCTTGCCAGGAAAAAAAAAAGTTGAAGTGGTGTGGGGCACCTAACAACACATAACTGTTTAGTTCTGTAAGGGCTGCACACCACAACGAAGGCTGGGTGGGATATGTGAAATGATACGGCCCAACCCCTAGTTTCGGAGATTAGGGAAACTGAAATTCCAAAAAGGAAGTGACCTGCTCAGGTTAGACTGCTAATACAAGGCCACGTGGAAACGAAGTTTGGGGCTCCCATTTCTGGTATTTTCACCAATATTGCAGGTATATTAAAAGAGCCTTTAATTCCTATTGGCTACTGAACCTTAATGTAATACCAATAAACCATTTTGTTTATGGACGTAGTATCCCCTAAGGTATTTTTTTTTTTTTTTTTTTTTTTTGGTTTTTCTCCGGTACCGGGAACCGAACTCACGACCTTGCGCTTGCCAGGCAGGTGCTTTTGCCGCTGAGCTAAATCCCCAGCCCCCCCCCCCAAGGTATTTTACTGTGTTCCAATGACTATAATCTTAGATTTGCAAGACTGAACACAAGCCTAATGTTCTCTGCTATGTCACCTATACATTATGAGGCAATACCGCCCCAAATAAGATTAACATCTGTTTTCTTAGAGACGAAAATATATTCATTTTTGAAGAGTTTTAATGAAGATTCTGCCCCTACTCCCATTACCTGGTGCTGACAGTACACTACTTTCCCTTTTTCACAAACATTAACTGGCCAAAAAAATCTAACTGGCCAACTTGTGGGCTTGCTGGGTTCTATGCTGAGAGAAAATGCAAAGAACAGTACCAATATTACCTGAATGAAGTTCCACATAAAAGTAACACTTTCTACCCTGAAAGAATCAGATGTCCCTGCAAGGTCCAGATGAAGCCAGGGGCTTCAGTGAGACAGCGACGGAAGCCGGCGCGCTCAGGGGACCAGGCACTTCTACGAGACTGTGTACGTGGGCTCTGCGAAGCACCTTCCATGACTGGGCCGTTCACATTTATTAGCTAAGTGGAGTTTCAGAGTGAAAATACCAGACTATCTTACCACGTAGAAGGAACTGAAAACAATTTAATGGATTAACCTAATGTGGCAAAATTTGGTATTTGTCAATTTCATTCAGTTCAACAAATTAAGTACTAAAGACCTGGAAAAAATTGGAGTAACTTTTTCTGATAGTCCTGCTAAATGTCTTTGTCCGTGATCCCTGTTCTCGATACGGTAGCAGGTTGAGACATATGTTACCAAAAATTTGCCTAATTTTTAAAAAAACAGTATTTATAATGTACCTCAAAGACGTAGACCAAATTGAAAATTTAAATTCTTAATTAAACATCTAAGGATACCTGCATTACATCTGATAGGAAAAAGTGACATTAATTTACAACTTTGATGCCCTAGGGAACATTTCTATCTAAGTTAATGGTGTTACTCTCTGATCAGTTCTTGGACGTTAGGATGCACTCCGAATCACTGGCTCTACGGGAGATGAAAGACTGAAGCAACGAACATTACCACTGATGATAAGCCCGTGACATGAACAGTAAAGCTCTGAGTATGGCAGTAAGATACAAGGCCAATTTCTAAGGTGATACACAGCAGGAAGGCGATTACCTGGCCTGGAACAAGAGTGTGTGTGAACAGCTTATTCAGCTCCACTAATTTATTGGGAGTGATGTTAAACTTCAGCGCTATGGAGTTTAGGGTGTCCCGGCTTCCAGCCTAGAATAATCAAAAAACAAGATTCAACACGTACAACAAAACAGAAAAGAAAAACTCCTTCTGACGGACGGCATTCATCTAGTCAAGATAAGAGTGGAAGAAAAAGTAACTGTTCCATCCAGATGTACTATGGAAGACAGTGCTTACATTCTTAATTCATAAAGCCATGCAAAAGTCATAAACATAATTCATTTCTAGGCCCCTTCATTTTCAAATGTCACTGTGCATTAATAGATTTCTAATTTTACTTTGGCACAATTTAGGCCTACAGAGTAGAGGTGCCTGAGGTCTAACAGAAAACTGTAAGGAAAAAAAACGTCACACAAACACAGGCCCCAGAGGAAAAGAGGGGCCACATTCCGTCATGTGGATTTCTGGCCCTTGTCTCTCTCTTCGAGCGCACTACCCACTCAGGACAGTGGCCCATTAGGGGCTATGTTCGCGGGTTGCTCTTGAGAAACTTCCTAAGGAATACTGTGGAAGGCAGGCACTCTGGAAGAAATTCAGATGAGCCACCAAGACAACTGCACTCTGACATTAGTGAGTTTCCATGGTCGACCAAATCCGTGTTGTTCTACATCTGTAAAATTTGTGGCGCATGTTCCAGATGCACACTTCCCTTTCCTCCTCTGTAGGGGAGGGAAAGGACAGTGGGCAGTGAGAAAATGGGAAGCTTCACAGTAAAAAACATCTCCCAGGACAGGCTTGTGGGAGTTCACTGTGATAAACGTCACCGAGTTCCCGTCTGCAGCCCTGGGCTGAGCAGGCGGGCTGCCCCCCATGCACGGAACTGACTCCAGAAGGAGAACGAGGTGGAAACCTAGAGAGGCTGAGGGAGGAAGTGGAATGGGAAAAAGGCCGAGAGGCAGAAGCAGAGTGAGACACCCACCGCCGCTGGAAGGAAAACTCACCAACCAGTGAACTGTCTCAGATCAATCAGAAGTTCTATAGCTACAGATTACACCAAGTAGTGTCAAACCTTTTCAACAACAAATTAAAGTATTATCTCTCCTTCCAGCCATCCATCCATCCGTCTCCACTGCAAACCCACCTCAATGCTGGGCAAAATCATCTCTACTAAAAATGAATATGAAAGGAAAAGGGTAGTTTTCCTTGTTGGACATTTATATGTAATACAGTACAAGATAGAGTCAGTACAAGAGAGAAACTGATAATCCAGACTCCAGAGGCAGACCGCTGCCCTGAGTCCCTGACCAGCCATTGCTGGCTGTACCACTTTGGGCATTGGCTTCACTGCTTTGGGTCTATTTCTTCACCCCTCAAATAGAGATCTATCACCACAGTATCTGCTTGATACCTCTTCTTTCATTTCATGATATGTGATCAATAAATCTGCTTCATATTTTTAGGAGTAAAGCTTATTAAAAAAAACCCTGTGTATAAAGCATTCAGTGAATGAGAAAAACGTTAACTGGAATTATCACATAAAGATGAAGTATACATATGGAATGAGGCCACAAAGACCCTGAAAGGGAGGAATCAAACTAAGTCAGAATGCTTGAACATCCACACCTAAGGTCCAATGCTAGCATGATGTTACAAGAGTCATCTTTTATTCTAATGACAAGTACAAAAACAGCTTGCCAAATACAATCACTTTTCACACTGTATGTATAAACCAGCTATGCATATCTACATTATTACTCTGACACATGTTTATATTTGTTGATGTGTGGTCTGGTTTTTACTCTCACTTTGTTGTTTGTTATCTGGTGTGAAGCAACTTATGGAGGGGCTTGTGAATCACACTGCTGGGAGCACACAAGTCGTAAGGATTATGGCTTTCAAATATTTTCGTAAGTAATAAATAACAAATAATTTCATCCAATGCGTCCCCATGCATACTTTGAGATATGGTACCATAAAGATGAACAACATACTTAGGTAACATGAGACAGAATCACACAGATCCATTCTGGAACGACTGGGTCTGTTATCTCCAGGAAGACGCCTATGGAGCTCACAGAACCCTGAGCATACGTGCCCGTGCCAGGCTTTTCAGTGTACTCTCCGAAGCCTTGCACATTAACATCCCAGAGGAGACATCGGAGGGGATAATGTCTTGCTGCTTGCCCTGTACAGGGCCTGGCAGGGCACGGAAATGGTGAGTGCAAAGTAAGTACACATCAGGAAAACCCAAGCGGGCAATGGTATTCACACTGAGCTTCTTAGAAGTCAAAGAGAACACTCAACTGCTATCATAGAGTGAATTAAAACAGACCATTGAGTGTAAATATGATCTCACTCCTGTCCCTGTGCTCCTGGTGCAGGGGGAGATGAGTACATGACACACAGTGTGGAGCTCTAGTGACAGACACACACACAGCATCGCTCACCTACTGGTTCAATAACAGGAGACCCACACTCTGCCAGGAGCCAAGAATACAGTACAACAAGGATCTAGTCTCTCCCCGTGGATTTAAGAATTAAGGAATGAAATAAGACATTCAAATAACAACACACTAACAATGAAAAATGCCTTTTATGTAAAGGACCATGAGTGTAAGAGAGGATAAATGAAGGGATGCAGCTCACTTGCTGGACCATCACAGGAAGTTGGGAAGAACATGGAAGGATATCAGTGGTCTGCCTTGCATCAATATATGAATGACAGAGCTCCTGCTTCCTGAGAAAGGACCCAGCATAGACAACCAAGTGGTTATGTTGAGCAGGTAATTGAGGCTATGGCTTTGGACTTCAGAAAGGATGTCCAGGGTAGAGACCTAGGACAGGAGCTCTGTCATAACTACCGTAACCCAAGTCACCAATTTGCCTGTAGACTGAAGCAGAGGAACACAGCTACTAGTACACCCCGGACTGAAAGGCTCCTCTGCTAAGAAAGGGCGTCTTCTGCAACCCAGCTGTGGGTGGGAGGCACCAGAGTGGCGAGGGAAGGACACCTGCCAAGCCAGCCACGTCATCCTGAGCAGTGCTGGTGATCAGCGGGGCGACAGGTATAGCCAGAGACCTCACGTCCATCCCGAAGTCACTGCTTACCACAAGTACATCCAGGGAGAGCAGAGGGAGAAAAAGGAAATGACCCCGAACATATCTTTAGAAGTTTCATTATTTAATAACAGACACACTGCGAGTAAATAAAACGTGTCGGGAGAAATGCGTAACCTAGCAGTGCTAACAAACGTTCACACCACCCTGCTTATACTCACCGTGTACTCCGTGGTTCCGTGGGGCTTCTGAACCATCTTCTTCTCCTTTTTATCATGTGCTTTGTTTTGATTGTCATCTGAAGAATAAATTGCACATAAAGGAATAATTTTATTTTCAGAAAATTAACAGATTAAATGTACATTGTAAGAAAATCCATTACCAAGCTGACTGGAAGCTGGTACTAATAGAAAAGTGGACAAAAGGCCCACATAGACCATGCTTATAAAAGCACTCCAGATACCAACGAACATCCACGTCAATGTTTAACATTAACTCTAAATGAATAATACAAATAAAAACAATGAGGAATATGCTTAAAGTTTAAAAGCAGTAGTTTAAATGGTAATGTGCAATGATGATACATCTAGCGAAAAACAAATCTAACCACGGTAGAAATGATGCATAATGTACATCACTTCCAGAAAGTGATTTAGCCATGTGCAGCCATAGCCATAGAAATGTTCCTTCTCTGAGTCAGTATTTCCTCTCTTAGGAATTTATCTTAAGGTCAAATTTAAAAGAAGAAAAATGACATTATCTTATGAATTTGGTTACTGACATATTACTCATAATAATAAAAACTGGCAGACTTCTTCATCCAGTAACATAGTAAGAGGGGCCATGGATTTTGCTCTTTTTAGTAGGCAAAAAATGTACAGTCACTGGTAGTGGCATCCAGTTCAACCTAATGGTTACATATATCTCAATATATTAATCCAGACATCAAAAGCCACAGAGACATATCACCATGGATAAAACACTTAAATGCCTCAAAGAATACAAAACGTTGGATTAGCCAAGAAAAGATAATCTTGCATGTGAGCAGAAGAATGCAAACTAACACCAAGGAGCATTTCATGCTGATTAGCCTGGGAATATCAGAAAGCTGGATGTTCTAATGCTCATAGAAATGTGAACTACTGCTAGCCATGAAGCTGGTGCAGTCCCTCCAGCAAATTACACTTCTACCACTTGCACATCTGTGACCAGTTTAACTCCCAGTGTCCTCTGTGGAGTGGGGGTTGGAAGGCAAGTAGAATATGGCAGACAAGCTCTGGGACTCGGGCAGTAATTAGAGATAACAAGCCAGATGCACACCCAGCAATAAGCCCACATCGAGAGAAACAACAGGACATCCCAAGGGTTCACTTATGTGCCTCAGGAACAGGTACAAAACAACCACAAACATCTTTCAAGGACACATAAAAATAAAAGAGCCTGTCAAATGGACAACAACGATCCAGAGTGGGGAGAGAAATGGGTGTGGGATGAGGAGAAGGGAGAATTGATGAATAAATAAATAATGAGGAGTCTAGCTAGATCTGACCAGTGAGAATCTGCCATGAGATGGTAAGTGGAATTAACTCAGCCTTCTCTATGTGAGGTCCTGCAAAGACACACGCACACACACACACACACACACACACACACACACACACACACGAGGAGGTGGGGGGAGGATCAACAATTATCATTTCATCTATATAACAAATACAGGGGTTCTGGATGAGAACTGGAAGGTAACAGGAAAACAGTTACTTCATACAGGATTTATTTCACTTTTAAATATTTCTTTTCTATTACTTAAAATTAAAAACCAAAAGGAAAAAAATACACTGTCACAGAGTCCTGTTCTCGTCATTTCTATGTTCAAATTTAAACTAGTCATAAAGCTGAGACCCTGCAAGCTCTTTAGACGACAAAAATGTCCTTCCTACCTTCAAGTGGCCAGGTCCACATTTTTCAGAAGATGGGACGAGTGACCACCATTTCTAGATCGCTGTTAAGAAAACTGTACACAGCCAACTGAGTATTAAAAAAAAACCCAATCACAACATTTTACGTCTTATAACAACTGCAAAAACTGAATTTCCTCATGCCTGGCAGGGGAGCAATTAAAGATTAACAACGTTCTCCCTGTTTTTTTTCTCTTCTGAAGAATTAGAAAAATGGCAACTGTTGGCTTTTGCTTTGCTTCCATGGAAGACGGACCACCCAAGACGGGCTTTCCCAGCCCGTTCTTCTCCAGGTTCCTTAGGGCATTAGGTTAAATGCTGCTCACTCCTTCCAAACTCTCTTCTTTCTTTGGGGCACATTCTGCCCTCACTGGCATCATAAACAGCTGTCAGCTTACCCTCCTACTTTTAGAGCAAGCATTTTATAAGCTTCAGGAGGTGCTTCCTATTTCCAGATCCCACACTGCGCTTTCCGTCTGGGGTGGCTTCCGGTCCACACCTTCCCACAATCTGGTCTCAAGGGAGAGCCCCATCACAAACGCCAACTTGTGCAATGACTTATTGTCTGGCTGTCAAAGAACAGTAACAGCAGACTGACTCTTTCAGCATGAACTCAGTATGTGCACCTGAATTCACACAAAAATTTAATTACCTTCCATGGAATAAGTACACGGGCTAGAAGAACGTCAAGCATGTCACATTACTAAAAGAAATTTTAAGAAAGGCTTCCCTCCAGAGTCTGAAGTTTTGAGATCTTTGTGGTGAAGACCACAACATACCCATCTTTGAGCTGCAACACGATACCCAGTATGTTCAGTCAAATGAACTTCCCGATACACACCAGTGAGCCTGACGTGTTCTGCAGTGGGTGACACCTCTCACCAAAATGACACAGCACTGAGCAGCTCAAGTGCACCTGTCGAAGCCACAAACAGAACACTACGTTTTGCAGTTGGTTTGAAAGAGAAGGCAGAGCAACTGGCAAATTCTAAGCATCAAACTTAATCGCCGACATCGTCTAACACACAGTAAGGTTTCATACTGCGGCCTGTATGTTTCTGCCGCAAGGTGTGAAGACAGCTGACATGAGCCTGTGAGGGAATCCTGCATCTCCCATGGCAGCACCCCGTCCCCAGAGTGCCTGGAGAGAGCTAGGAAGAGCTGGCAGCTACTGCAGAAAAGGATCGTTCTTCTGGGATGTGGCTCTGACTCCAGCATCCGAGGCCACGATCCGTGATGATCCCAAGGATGCAGCGGGCCCGGTGACGCTGACACGTCCAGCCTCGGGCTCGTTCCCAGCCCCACATGGTTCAAATCCTCACGTAACTCCAGCTCATACGCGCCGGTACCTAGTGCAGGGCGGAAGCTGGCCAAGGGCTCTGTAGAAAGGAGTTTGAGCAAAGTGCCTGAGTCTCTTACCTGCCCAACCTATGAGTGAATTCCTCAAAGCCAGCTTTTCCTAATCCAGTTTTGTAACAAAACTGAGAAAACCCCTAGACTAATGGGACACTGGCTGGTGAGCCTTTCTGGTCTTGTGGGAACTGAATGGGAGGAGGCAGGGGCATCTGTGCGCCACTAGGACCTTGGCGCCCCCAGCCCAGCCGCATCCCTGATTGCCCCACAACGGAGCTGGAAGCGTCTGGAAGGCAAGGCTTTGTGAGAAGACGGCTCTCGCCCAGGGTCCACGCTAACACATGATATTCCGCAGTATGCAAAGCAGCCTTGTGTAGTGGTGAGCTCAGCAGACACAGTGCAGAAGGGTCTCCTCTGGGGCTTGGGAAGCAACATTAGCTGAAGCCAGACCAGCGGCAGGCAAGGGACTCTGAGGACACAGGAGCATGACAATGCATGAGTTTCCTGTGGGTGCTGCCACCAGCCACCACAACTGTAGTGCCTCAAAATGGAAAACAAACACATGCCCATTGACTGAAAAGGTCCTTGCCCCCTCTGGCAATGCCAGCGGCCCTGGCCAAGCCCTTCCACTGCTGTTCCTCTGGTTCTCTCTTGCCTGTTTTTGCACCTTTCCGGACCCCTGCACTGACCCTTGGGCTGCCCTGACGGTTCACATAGACCTTCAGTGCCAGCTGGTCAGTCACCTTCGTGCATCTAAAGCCTCAACTCCCTTGTCACAGACCAGAGACCCGACAAAGCCATCACAGTGGACATTATTCTGGTTGTAGCTGAAAACACAGACAAAAGGGACGGCTGTGGATTCCTTGGGTCTTGATTCTGTAACTTCTACACAGATTTGAGGAGGACAGAAAAGCCAGTATGTAGCCTGTTTCCCCCGCTCCCCAGGTATTATCAACTGTGTGAACAAGCACAAACGGAACTTTTGAAAATTACCAGGATTTCCACTGTATCAGGACTCATGCTGCACTGGCCTTATCACTGACTCTGTGTACAAGTCCCTCGCACCCCTGAACAATCATTTCTCTCCCTTCCCTCCATCGGTCCATCTGCACGGGGTTCACAACGCTGAGGGCGCAGGGCCTGCAGCACCTTGTCAGCAGAGAGAAGATGGTCTCCCCAGCATCCAGAGAAGGAGGAAGCAGAGAGGCAAGCACTGCATCTCTAGGACTTTCAAAGAAAGGAAAATGCATTTCCAAGGCCAAACTTGTCCCTGTACTGGAAAGTGGTTAAGTCTCAACCTTCTCATTATCCTAAACACAGCAGGGGAGAAGGAAACTCCACGCATCACCATCACCGCTGTTTCTTCTCTGCCAAGAAGCAACGACGTTCTTGGGGATGGAGCAGACGCAGACATTTCATTCAGCGTGTGCCTCATTTTTCCCCCAAAGCTCAGTAAGGGAAGGAGAAGGATGCCGAGCGTCCCTCCAGCTTCCGCACCGAAGAGGGCTGGGCACGACCTGCTCCACACGGACCAGCACTGTACTTTGGCAAATAACTCAGCTGCTGGGGTTTTTGCCTGTGTAAAAAGAAGCTAGTACTTCCTGCAGTAAATCACAGTGAGTCATAAATGAGAATGAAATAAAGTACCTCATCCACAGGGGGCACGCGTCCAAAACAAGTTCTTTGCTCTTCCTCATGCCTGGTGTTGTTCACCTACCAAAAGCTCTTTTCAAAATATCCTTTCCCTTATCAATGGATCAAGGACTTAATTGGGTAAATTTAGACTTCAAAAGAAAATACAGGAACTATAAAAAGCCACTTCTACACGAATCAAAGCTATACAGAGCCAGGGCCTTAGTCTATCTGGGCTATTAAAAAATGCCATAAACCGGTGGCTGTGTGCAGCAGAAATTTATTTCCCATAGCTCTGGAGCACAGAAGTCCAAGGTCAAGGCACAAGGAAGTGCAGGGCCAGTGAGAGCCCCGT